CTTTTTTATGTTTAATGTTATGTAACTGAATGTTGGATTATCGATAAGTCTTGTAACATCTGATTGATCCACTAGGATGCTGAATAAATAAATGATACTTTTTTGATCCCTGAAGGGAAATTACAGTTAAACCTGAGCTCAGGTTCATATTTTCACCCGTGAGCATTTTCAGCAACAAGTGGAATGAGGTGGGAGAACTGGACTTAATGTCAAAAGTGCATTTTGATTTTTTTGCAGGTCTTCTAAGACAAAAAAGATGAGTAAACTTATCCTGTTAGAGACCTTATTCTTTACTTCAATTATGGCAACCCTGTATTGTGGAATTTGTAAAACATTCTTGATTTCTAAATGTAACCATGCGTAACACTGTCAGAGGAAGAATTTAGCAGTAATTGGAGGGAGAAAAATACTTTCAAGTATTTTAAACATTGTTATCTGATGCTGTCAAACAGCTGTGGGTCACTTTTCGTTCTCAGAAAGAGTGAAACTTTTCCGCTTAAAACTACATATAATCATTATTCAAAAGCAACAGATTGTTTTAATGTTAGTTTCCCATCAATAAAACAAACAGACCAACCCCTTTTTTCTGGAAAGTTTCTATCTGGTATCTGACGGGGGGAGAGTGGTTTGTTTTTGCTAGTGCCTGCAACACTTCAGTTACTTTTGAATATTTTGCTGCCTAAAACAGAATAACACTGAATTACAATTACAGATAAATGAGTTTTAAACTCACTATTAAAAGAACTTATCAGGACCGATGCTACACAGCAATAGCTCTCTGCATGCATTCTTTAATAGCTAAAAACTCTCACCGCTCTAAGCATTATAGACGTATTGTCATGCTTCTATTTTAGTGATTGAGAAACAGAAATATTGCATAATACACATGATGTGAAAAGCTGGTGTTTATAGTTGAAAATACCTCTTACTGTTGGAGAAGATAAATGTTTTTGGGTGTTTGTAATGTTAAAAACTTTTGAAGAGATCTTTATATCAGCTGATTGTTGTAGCCTGTCTTTATTTATTTTTTACATTTTTGTACATCTCTCAGTGTGCTTAACCAGAAATGCTTTTTCAAAGGTGTGAAACCCAGAAAAAAATCATAAGCAGACCAAATGTAAACACTTGGCCATCATGTGACTTAGCCTAAAAATAAAAATGTGGCAAAAATGATGATGAATGATGTAGGGCAGGGGTCCCCAAACGTTTTCCTGTAAGGGCCACATAACTTTTCCCTTCTCTGGTGGGGGGCCGGAGTCGGTTTGTAACAGAAAAAGTGTGACTATTGCAGGAGTGCCTAAATGTAAAAATTTATTGTTTTCCAGAAAGCACAATCAAATAACCCTCTCTGGGTTCTTCACAGTATGTATTCTGCTGAGCTAACAGTCCACTTTTTAGCTTTGAGAGTTTGTTTGCTCGCATTTGGCCTTGRAAGCTATCATACTTGTCTTTGTGACAGGATTCATAGTGTTGCCACAGATTTTATTCTTTGAATACRGCCACCGCCTCTTTACAGATGAACAAAAAAATAATCGTTTGTCCACTGAAGCTTAAATGCCCTGCATTCTGAATCAATTTTTCTTACCTAATCTTTTCACCATTATTCCATTCTCTCTTTGAGAGGGGCGGGTTTAGGGTTTTTTTCTGGGGGTTGCCAGATAGGGGCACAGACCGCAGAAGGGTGGAACAGAATGTCATGTTATATGCG